CCAGACACCACTTTGCATCTCCCAGACTCTCATCTCGGAGCAGCTTTGAACACCAAGCCCTGAGTTTTCCCACCCAGAGGCCTCCAGGACATGGAGAGATCTGAGAGGGAGACACGGGCAGGAGAAAGGAGCAGGAGCCCAAACCCACTGCCATCAAAGCACTTTTGTCCAGAGATCTCCAATTAGACCAGGACACGCTCTGGCTGCTCTTCCTGGCTGTTCACAAAGCACATGAGCTTCATGTCAGCTTGGCCTCCTCTCCTCCTGCCCCCAGGCTCCAGCTCCTTCTCATTAACGATGCTCTGTCTTCATTAGCAAATTAATCCCCCGGGAGCTGCAGCAGAACCCACCAGAGCGAGGAGCAGCAGAGCCACGTCTTGGCTCTGGTTGGACAACAGAGAGGATTTCCTGGGCACAGAAAGATAATCACAGAAATGCTAAAAACCTCCCAGACCTGGGATCTTTGAGGCTTTTTCATTTAAACCAAACAAGAGGTGATTTGTGAGTGTTGGGTCTGGATTTGGTGCGGGTTGGAGGGCTGGGAAATGAGCTCTCAGCTCTCTCCTGGACAAGGGGGAATGGCTCCCCACTGCCAGAGGGCAGGGATAGGTGGGATATTGGGAAGAAATCCTTGCCTGTGAGGGTGGGGGGGACTGAGATGGAATTCCCAGAGGAGCCGTGGCTGCCCCATCCCTGGAAGTGCCCAAGGCCAGGTTGGATGAACTCGGAGCAGCCTGGGACAGTGGGAGGTGTCCCTGCCCAGGGCAGGGGGTGGAATGGGATGAGCTTTAAGATCCCTTCCCAAACCCTTCTGGTATTCCACGTTCTCCTGGAGAAAAGGGGCCTCAGTGTTTGTGCAGCCTCTCCTGGAGTGTCCCCTCGGGAGGCAGCAGCTTTCCCTGCAGCCCCTGCTCCTTTTAACTCTGACCAATCTGTCTGCCCTTGGGGACAATTTGTCTGCCTCCACCTCCACCCATCGCCTCTTCCCCTCCTCTGGGGAGCAAACAGCACCATCAACAGTGTCTATTTTGCCTCTTTGCATCACTTTCCAAAACCTCAAAGACGTTTTTGTTCCACACCAACCCAAACCTCCTGCCCACCCCATCTCCCCAGGGGATCAGAGGCTGGATGGTGGCTGTGCCTCCTTTCTCCTGAGGACTTGGGGTGATCTTTGTGGGGAAGGGATGGTGCAAAAACCACCACGGAGGTGGAGGAAAATCTACCAATTATGGTCAGGCTGAAAACCCACAGGCAAAGGAAATAAACCCAAAGTGGGTGATGATGGTGGTGACTCTGATCAGGGATGGTTTAGTCACAGCTGCCAACAAAAATAATAGTGGTAACAAAATTGCAATGATGCTGCTAATTGTTCTGATGCTGATGGTAATAATAAGATTATTTATTAATTGTGAGCCATTATCAGCATCTTCTAGGGCTTCTTCCTGCCAGACCCACCCCAAACTCCAGCCCTGTCATATCAGTGCAGGATGAGGTAAATGGGAAAGGCTTTTCCTCTGTGGGAAGGAAGAACCACAGGAACAGCAAAGCCTGTCCCTGACCTCCCTGTTAAATCCCCCCCATGTGCCAGGGGGTTGGAATCAGGGGGGACCTTGCATTTCCACCCTTTACAGAAGCACAGGATCATTAGGGTTGGAAAAGACCTCTGGGGTCATCAAGTCCAACCTTGGACTGATCCCATCTCATCACTGAGTGCCACGTCCAGTCTTGCCTTGGGCACTTCCCTGGAAAATCAGGTGGAAAAGTGGTTTAAGTGGGGCCTGTGAGCCCTGGGAGAGCTCCATGGCCAGACCAGAGGGATTCATGGAGCTGGGGGGGAGGACAGAGCGGGAACTTGGAGTCACTTGGTGGCTTTTGCCACTCTCCACGTGGACGGGGACAGAGGGGGTTCCCAGGGAACACAATTCCCTGCAGCCACCCCTGCGCTGGGCTCGGGGCCTGAGGGAGCAAAGGGAACAGAACCAGCTCCAAATGTTGCTGTTTCCCATGGATTTTGGGGTTCATCCAGGACAGGGAGGTGGACAGGCGGCAAGGAGGGATTGATCTGGACCAGGGCAGAGGGATGTGTGAGGAGGAAGAAGGGATCTGGACCAGGAAAGAAGGATGGATGTGTGAGGAGGGGGGATGGATCTGGACCACAGCAGGGAGATGGATGGGCAGCAAGGAGGGATGGATCTGGACCATGGCAGAGGGATGGGTGTGCAAGGAGGAGGAGGAGGAGGTGGAGGGGTGGATCTGGACCAAGGCAGAGGGATGGGTGTGCGAGGAGGAGCAGGGATGGACATGCAGCAAGGTGGGAGCATCCCTGTGAGGAAAAGAGGGATGGATGTCCAGCGAAGGGGGATGGATGGATGGATGGATGGATGGATGGATGGATGGATGGATTTAAGCAAGGGATGGCTGTTTTGGGAAGGGATGGATGTGCCATGAGGAGGACAGAGGTGCTGGGGGCAGGTGGGAGCTGGAGGAGCCCCTGGCAGGGTGTTTCTGTGCTCTGTGTTTCACCCCCTCTGGACCCCATGAGCTGTCACCCCGGGGTGTGCACACCCTCCCCCGCTCTCCCCACACCCACCTGCACAACTCAGGGTGTTCTGGAGCTCTGGGGGGCTGGGATTGTCCCCCTGCAGCTGTTCCCCCTCACCTCTGCCTGGGCTGCCCCATGTCCTCTGCTCCTGGTTCCCGGGTGACAATGGGGACTGGGTGCTCCCTCTGCCCCCTGTGCTCCTACCAAGGGGAGAAGGGGTGGGGGCTCTGGGAGCTTCCCCCTGCCTGGGTGCCCTGGGAGTGTCCCCCTGCCTGGGGGCTGCCTGCAAGCCCTGGGAGGGTGTTTGGGGCCATGGTGGCACCGTGGCAGCTCAGCAGCTTTGTCTCTCTGCTGGTGGCTCTCCCGGAGCTCTGCAGGGCAGGGCAGGGGTGGGAACACATCCTACAAAACCAGTGGGAGACCCTGGGAACCCCCGGGAGTGGGGAGATGGGACACGGCCTGCAGGGGCTGCAGGGAGGAGCTGGGGTGGCGGATGGGGCTGTGACTTCCACTCTTGTCCCCCCACCCTGAGCTGCTTGAGCCTGGGGGGTGGGAGGGTGGTGTCAGGGCACACCAGCCCCCCCAGGACCTGTTCTGGGTGACAGGGGGTGCACAGGCCAGCACAGAGTCCCACGGGAGCCTCTGACATCCCTCTGCTGCCCCCCCTCCCATGGGCCCCCCTCCCCTCTCCCTTCCCTTGTCCCACAGTCCCAGTTCTCTCCCACCCCTCCTGCCCTCCCCGTGCCCTCCCAGCCCTGAGCCTTTCTCAGGGTCTCCTGCCCTCTCTGCTCCTCACAAGGAATAAATCACCCTCCGGCTCCAGCCTTGGCTCTCAGAGGAAACTGCTGCCCACATTGTCACCTCCTTCCCAGGGGACCTGGCTGCCACCAGCATGTCGGGAATCTTTTCCCAGGACAGGGAGGGCTCATTCAGGGGAGCTGTCTGGGAGACTGGTGGCTCTGGACCCTCTGGACTCCTGAGGACTGATGTCCCCTACTCCACCCTGGGCCCCTCCTCGCTCCCACCTTGACACCTTGCCCACGAGGTGGGTCTGGAGAAGGGGAAGGAGGCTGGTTTGGGGTCCTCAGCTGTATTAAAAAGCCCCAAAATGCTCCATTTCCCACTACAGGCAAAGGAAACCTTTTTCCAGCACCAGGATGGAGATCCAGGTTTGCCCCCCACCCTGGTCCCCGTGGCCAGGTTAAACACAGCAGCACTGACAGACCCAGCAAAGAGATGGAAAACATCCTTTGTTCAGTGCCCTCTGGGGAAAGGCAACAACTCTTGGGCTGAGAATCTTCTCAGCCTCCAAAGAGAAGCTTTTCCGAGGGCCAGGGAGGAAAATCAATGGAGCAGAACTGCACTTCCCGCTTGGAGAGCTCTGGGGACACGAGCCCAGCCCTGAGTGCTCCCCACGGCACCAGGGAGGGAGCAGAGCCCGGGCAGAACTCGGCTCTCCTCCTCCTCCTCTTCCTTCTCCTCCTCCTCCTCTTCCTTCTCCTCCTCCTCCTCCCCTCCCGCAGCCTTGGCACCAGCCCACGAGGGAAGAGGGTTTTTGGACGGGTCCCCTCCATTAGGGGATGGAACTGGAACAGGCCGTGCCCAGAACCTTCCCTGGGGCTCCATCAGCACCTCAGACCTCCGTCCTCGGGGCTCCCAGGAGGTGCTTTGGCGGCGATTTCCTGCCCTGGCACCGGGAATTGTCTGGGGCAGGAGCTGGCAGGGCCAGGGGGTGGTGGGAGCACAGGGAGCCCTGGCTGAAGGGGCTGGGGTGGGAGCTGGGCTGGCAGGGCACAGGGACCCCTCCTGGGGATGGGATAGGACACCCAGCAGGCACACTCCAGATTCCTAAAGCATTTTCTGCTGTGGCATCAACCCCCTGAGCTCCAGGATTGTGTCTGGGGTCTCTGCCCATCCCAGGGCACGTGCAGGAAACCAGTTTATCAACACAGTTCTCAGAACAGGCTGTTAGTGGTTGCCAGGGGAGGGGGTGAGGAACATCACCCCCCAGCATGGGCACTGCCACCCCACCCGGAGCAATCCGTGGAAATGGGGGGGATTTGAGATGTTTCAGAGCAAGTCTTGGAAATGCAACACCAGGAGATGGTGTGAACTGAGGGGAAATCCTCCCTGTTCACACACTGCAAATTCCCAGACACTAACCTTTGGAACGATGGACAGGTTGGGTTGTTGGCTTTAACCTGCTCACGGGTCACTCAACAATTTGGGAATGTGCACAGAGACATTCCAGTTGTACCTCCAGAACCCCAGGTACCTCAAACCCGACCCTCTCTGGTAACTGAACTTCCCCACTGCAGTAACTGAACCTCCCCAAACTTCCCCTCTACACGAGGTTTATGTCCAGGATCCCCCTGATTTATGTTCGGCTCCAACCCAGACGATTTTGGGACACGGGGACGAGCCCCCGGCCGGGGTTTGACTCCTGTCCCCCCCACAGGTACAAGAGCGTGGTGACGCCCCGGCGGGCGGCCGTGGCCATTGCCTGCTGCTGGATCGTGTCCTTCCTGGTGGGACTCACCCCCATGTTCGGCTGGAACAACCTGAGCAAGATGAGGACTCAGGAGCCCAACGGCAGCCAGGAGTTCGTCATCACGTGCCAGTTCGAGACGGTGATCAGCATGGAGTACATGGTCTACTTCAACTTCTTCGTGTGGGTCCTTCCCCCCCTGCTGCTCATGCTGCTCATCTACCTGGAGGTCTTCAACCTCATCCGCAAGCAGCTCAACAAGAAGGTCTCCTCCAGCTCCAACGACCCCCAGAAGTACTACGGGAAGGAGCTGAAGATCGCCAAGTCCCTGGCGCTGGTCCTGTTCCTCTTCGCCCTCAGCTGGCTGCCCCTGCACGTCCTCAACTGCATCACCCTGTTCTGCCCGTCCTGCCAGACCCCCCACATCCTCACCTACATCGCCATCTTCCTCACCCACGGCAACTCGGCCATGAACCCCATCGTCTACGCCTTCCGCATCAAGAAGTTCCGGACAGCCTTCCTGCAGATCTGGAACCAGTACTTCTGCTGCAAATCCACCAAAAACGCCGCCGGCAGCACCACCGAGGCCGAGCCGGGCAATTAGGGACAGGGGAGGGCAGGGAGGGGGGTCGGTGCCCACCCCGGCCCCGCTGGGCAATTAGGGACGGGGGGGAGGGCACCCGTCTGTGCCCACCCCGATGCTGCTCCTGCCGTCGGGAGAAGGGAGAAGGGAGCGAGGACCTGGAGGGGTCGGGCGGCCCCGAGCAGTCCCAGCAGTCGTGTCCCCCCCCGGGGGGGGTTATTTATTCACTGTTTGGATGTTGTAGCCCTGCACTGTTCCTTTCTGGGTTCGTTTTCGGGTTTTCTCCCCCGTTTGTTTTTGGTTTTCATTTTTTTTTTAAGGGTTGCCAAGTATTTAAGGAGAAGTTGTACAGACAGAGGCGCAGTTTTTCTTCCTGCAAATAAAGACCTGTGACCCAAACCAGGCAGGAGGTGCCCACCCATCGATGGAGACCCCCAGCTCTGTCTGGGGGATGTGGGGGCACCTCATGCTCCGACCCCCCATCCACAGACCCACCTGGGCACTGGGAAGAAGGGAGTGAAGCTGCTGAAGCCCCGGGCGGTGGGATGGGATTGCTGGAGAGCTGAAGCTCTTCAAGGCCTTTCTTCCCCCTCCACAAGGGAGGGGTGAGCTGGGCACAGGCACAACGAGGGGTGGGAAAAGGCATCCCATGGCTGTGGGAACCACAGAGCACAGTCAGTGCCCAGCTCTCAGTGCCACCAGGGATGTGGGTAGGGGGGCAGTGACACCCTCGGGCACAACCCCAGAGGACTCTGCAGAAGCACCTTTTGCAGCCCCGATGGCTCCCCCTGGACCCCAACAGCACCCACCACCCCACGAGCTGCATCCAGGGACTGTGACCTCTCCACTCTCCTCCTTCCATTTCCTTCGGTTTTGGGTCCTTTTCCCTCTTTTTTCCCCCCGTGTCTCCCGTGAAAAGCAGCAGCAAACCTCTCTCAGCCTGTTTGTCTCTTCTCTCTTACGTCGCTCCCTCTCCCTCCCCGCACAGCCAAACACCTTCCACCCAAAAGCTGTGGGATAATGCAGCAATTCCTCAGCCCAGGGAGGGCAGAGGGGCCCCTGCACCCACCTGGGGGCAACTGAGGGGTGGCTGCAGGCCACTGAGTCAGCGCTGCTGCTGCCCCAGGGGCACTTTCCCACCCCTCCCATTTGAGGAGGGGGTGGCTGGACGGGGACCATCGTCCCCTCCCAGCTGTGGCCCTGCTGGATGGTGGCAGTGCCAACCCCTGCTCAGCAGCAGGATCTCCTCCAGGGCTCAAGCAGTGGTGGGAAGGGTTAATTCGAGTTGATTGGGATTCTTTCCTTATCCCTTTGCTCACCAGGCTCCCACTGGAAACACACGTCCTGTGACCCCTCAGGGTCCTGCCCTCAGCGGGGACACGTCACCAACGGGCAAAGGGGCTGCAGAGAGTTCCTGCAAGGGCTGAGGTGGGTGCAGAGAGGAAAAGGACCTTGGAAGGGTGAGATTTGGGGGTGGTTTGTTGGCTGGGCACCAAGAGCAACGCCGAGAACGGGGGGCACGGGCAGTGGGGCTGCTGGGTGACCCCTTCTCCCACTCTGCTCAACCTGGAGGGACGGGGAGCATCACAAAGAAGAAAGGAGACAAGGAACCCACCCTCCCACACTTTGCAGGGGCCTCAGTGCCCCATTCCCAGGCTCCACACTGGGTAAAATGGGAGCAGAGCAGAGGAGCAGTGGCAAAAGGATGGGGGGCAAATCCTAAATCCTCCCCTCGGGCCCTGAACGCCCTCCCATACCCCAGAGGTTCAGACCCCAATGTCAGCAGTGCCTGAGGGTGCTCAGACCCCGATGTCAGCAGTGCCTGAGGGTGCTCAGACCCCGATGTCAGCGGTACCTGAGGGTGCTGCAAGCCCAGCCTGGCACAGAGAGACCCCCCACCCCCCGTAGTCCCTGGGCACAGCAGTGCCCTCAGATCTGTGCTGCTGTTTGCCAGCTCTGATCCCACTGGCATCTCATTCCTGACACTGTCACCTTCTCCTGGTCCTCGCTGAGGTGCCCGAAATCCCGAGGACTGGGATGCTCGTAAATTAAAAGCCACATGAACGGTCACTTCGGACAAAAAAACCCCTCCAGTGGATTTTTCCACTCCATGCTCTCCAGACCTTTCCCGGGGAGGGCTCGCTAAAAGTGGATGTTCTCGCCCACCTCGGTGCCCCGGGGGGTCACAGGCACGGGCTGTGCCCTGGAGGGTTGGAATGAGGGTCTGGAAAGGGCACAGTGGGGAGTGTGACACAGTCTCAGGGGTGCTGCTTCTCCCCTGGGACAGCAAAGCCCCTGCTGGGAGATTCCAGGCCCTGTCTCCCGAAGAATGTCCCGGGCTGAGGTGCCAGGGGCATCCAGGGGCATCCAGGGGCATCCAGGGGCATCCAGGGGACCAGGACATCCCCCCCAGTGTCCAGGGGTGAGAGTGCCAGGGCAAAGCAGCTCTGCAGCCTGGGCTGGGACATCCCCCGGGTCCCAACGGCGCCAACAATCCCCCGGAGCAGCAGCGGGACAGTGAATCCAGGGATGGGACTGTGAATCCAGGGATGGGACAGTCAGTCCAAGGATGGGACTGTGAATCCAGGGATGGACAGTGAATCCAGGGATGGACAGTGAATCCAGGGATGGAACCATGAATCCAGGGATGGGACTGTGAATCCAGGGATGGGACAGTGAATCCAGGGATGGACAGTGAATCCAGGGATGGGACAGTGATCCAGGGATGGGACAGTGAATCCAGGGATGGGACAGTGAATCCAGGGATGGGACAGTGAATCTGGGGATGGGACAGTGAATCCAGGGATGGGACAGTCAATCCAGGGATGGGACAGTGAATCCAGGGATGGGACAGTGAATCCAGGGATGGGACAGTCAGTCCAAGGACAGGACAGTGAATCCAGGGATGGGACAGTGAATCCAGGGATGGGACAGTCAATCCGGGGATGGGACAGTGAATCCAGGGATGGGACAGTGAATCCAGGGATGGGACAGTCAATCCGGGGATATCGATCCCAGGATGGGACAGTGAATCCAGGGATGCCCTCTGATGGTGGGAATGGTGCTGGTGTGGCTGGGGCTGTGCCTGTGCTGAGCCCCTGGGAGCAGCAACACCCTCCGGGTGTAAAACACAGCTGAGTACCCCCAAATCCCTCCAATATTCCCAAACCCACAAAACCACCTCCAAAAAAAATCACAAATTCAAATGCACCCAAAATACAGGCAAAATACGCCCAAACCCCCAAATCATCCCAAAATCCTCCAAACCCCCCGAAATTTCTCCAAGTTCCATCAAAACACCAAACCCCCCAAATATTCCCAAAATCCTCCAAATCCCAAAATTCTGCCAAGTCCCATCAAAATCTTCAGGGATTTGTGTGGATTTTGAGGGCATTTTGGGATATTAGAGGACTTGATTGGGTATTTTGATGTGACTTGGGGGAATTTGGGGGTTTGGGAGGATTTTGGGATGACTTGGGGGGTTGGATGTATTTTGCGCATATTTTGGGTGGATTCGACGGGATTTGGGATTTTTTTTGGAGGTGGTTTTGCCAGTTAGGGAATATTGGGGAGATTTGGGGGAAATTCTGGGATATTTTTGGAGATTCTGGGGGTGATTTAGATGTGTTTTACATGTTTGGGGCACTTCGGTGCAATTTTGCGCTGTTTTATGAGAGTTTTGATGGACTTTTGTGGGAATTTGGTGGAATTTGGAGGAAATGTGGGATTCTGGGAATTCTGGCCCCACCTGTGCACATTTATCCCTCCTCATGCCACGGGGAGGGGATGTTGGGGGCCGTTCATGGGTCGCTGGTGCGGATAAAGAAATTTGCTTTGATGAAGGAGCACCAACCCCACAGTTCTGGTGCTGCTGCTCTTCCTCCCCAGCCAGGATCATCCTCCAGCTCCAGCAGGAAAACTTCCCTCCCTGTCCTTTCTGTCCCAGACACCTCCATGGGTGTTCCTCTGTGTCCCTTCCCAGCCCCTCCACCCGTGGGGTGGGGGATGTTCCACGGCCCCACATCCCCCCTGGAGCTCTTCCCCCCGTCTCCCCCCAGCCCAGCAACCCCAGGACAGGCAGGACAGAGGGGTTTGGGGTTTTTATTGGGACCAAAGGCTCCCAGAGGGGCTGGTTTTATTGTCACAGCTCAGGACGGGCTCGGGGAGGGATGTGCCAGGGCAGGATGAGGTGCAGACCCCCAGAGCTCTCAGGGAGGGGCAGCCCTGCAGGCAGCAGGGACCAGGGGCATCCCCATGGGCCCTGATCCCACCCAGCAGCTGCAGCATCCACCTGGGGACAGGAGTGAGACCTGAGGGCTCTGGGATGGGATGAGGTGGAAAAAATCCCTGCTGTGGCTCCAGTGCAGGACAAACCCAGCCCAGCCCCTCCACCCTCTCCTGCCCCACAGAATTTAGGCACGACCCTTTACCTCCGTGTTCCCACAGCCCCATTTCTCATCCCTTTATACCCATCCCCAGGCCCCAGGACCTGCCCCTCATGTCCAACCCCGAGTTGCTCCAGGAGTCCTGGCTGCAAATGGGGCTGTGCCCGTGCTGGGCACACCAGTCCTGGCCTCCTCCCTCCCTCCGGCCCCATTTACAGCCCTCCCTCCACCTCCCTCCCAGAGAGGCAGCTTTTCCTCAGGCTCCTCATCCCACCTCAGCATCCCTCCCCAGCCATGGGATGAGGGAGGCCCGAGTTGGGGTGACAGGGGTTAATCCAGGACCCTCAAACCCTCCTTCCCCCGGGAATCCCAGAGCACCAACCCCCTCAAACCCTCCATCCCCCAGGAATCAATCCCAGAGCCCCAGCCCAGACCCACCTTGCTCTTTTCCTGCCCTCGGGTCCGTCCTCACTTGGGCACTGCAGGAGAGCACAGGAGACATAAATTCCCCCTGAATTCCCCTCGTCTGACTCCCCTCCTGACTTCCAAAGGTGGGCCAGGGCACAACTGACCCCGCTGTGTGCCCCCA